CGCGGCTGAGTAGTGGGGCTGTGGGTGGTGCTTTTCCAGAGAAGGCTGGGAAGGTTAGTGACTTTGGGATACGCGGTTCTAGATTGGAACGAGCGCGGCTGGGGATCGAGTCTCGCGTTGCCGTGGGTAGAGGTCAACGGGTCGTGGGCTGCGGGCTGTGAGCCGCCGGGGTTCGTGGCCTCCCCGGTGGTTGGGGGTCGTTAGTTTGTGTAAGGGGTGACAAAAGAGCAGCGGGGCTGAGGGCGGGAACAGCCGGGCCAGGCTGGTGAAGGAGTGGGGGTGCTGCCCTGGTATTAGTGATGGGGTGAAATGGGGAGGTCTGTTCATTTCCTACCTGTCAAATGAGATAGGGTACCCCTGTGAGTTACCCAATCTGTTGCTTTAGCCCTATTAATGGTTAGTGCTCTGCGTTTGCCCGTGAAGCTGTAAGAATGGGGATATGTTTAATAAAGAGAAGTGTGAAAGTCAGTGAAAAGTAGCTCTTTTCCAGATAATAATTCTGGTTTACAATATTCTGGTAAAAATGTTTTTGTTTTAAAAAGTGTATTTTCAAAAGTGTGTGGTTCCCCCCACTTAAAACTGTATTCTGAGTTAAACGGGAGGGATTCTCTTGCATTTCTAAGCTATTGAAGTGTCAGGCAAGTTGTGTATCAGGTGGATGGGACTCTGTAAATTCCTTTTCTCATGCTAAATATATATATGCATGCTCGTGCACATATGGTTCTGATGGATGTTGACCTAAAATGTCCTTAAAAACACTTGGTGAAGATCCCAGGTATCCTCTAGATCATTTAATTCAGTTACAACTACTGTATTATTTATGTTTTCTTTGACTGAATCTTCAGAAGGAATGTGAGATTTTTAGGATGCTTCTTCAAGATTTGTGAAAACCTTGCAACCTGATCAAAATAGCAAGCATTTTCACATTGGATATCCTGAGTGTGTCAACTGCTCGTGTTTAAACTGTTCAGGCAGCTCTTGTGTCACAAGCCCACTGCAAAGGAGCATCTGACTTACTCTGCGTGTGCTGTACTGTCCCAATGGCTTATGCATTAACTGTCACATGAAGAGCTGTATGCCTAGTGTGTATGCTCAGATAATCTGTGGGGGCTGTACTGAATCTGTTGCTGGTATTCTGGCTAATGCGTGTATGGATTATAGAATACAGTTCTAATTTTTTGAAAGTATTACTGATTTTCAGTATTTTCTAGCAGTGGTTTGTGATCAGTTCACTAATGAACTGTACAGATCTAACATGTACTATGTGTGAAATTATAAACAAGTTACAGAAAGCTGCCAAGTTCTAGAAACAAACTTAGTGTGCTTTTTTATGCTGTATATAGTGGGTGCTTTCCTAAGGTGCAGAGGTACGGTATCTTCAAATGCTTGATAACGCCTGTTTTTGTTGTTGTGATGGATATGTGGAAGATAATTCTACAGGAATCTGAAATGGTCATCTTGTAGAATTCTGAAGACAGAGACTATTTGCTGTCACAAATTGGAAACAACAGTAATCTTTTCTTGTTTTTCTGTTTTGATAGAGCCACACAGCCAGTGGTTGCTTTTCCTGATGCATTCATCATGATAGCTCCAGCTTTTGAGCTGACCCAGGATCTGGATTTTCTTACCGTAATAAAGTACCTTATGCCAGAGCGTCAGAATTTGATGATGTGTATTTTGAAGGGGAAAATTTTAAATTTTATGCTAAGCCATACTCAGGCAAGTAGTGGAAGGATTTTTAAAAAATTGGAACTTCATAAAAGAAATAAAAGTCAGTAGAGAATGAACTTCACTTTAGTCCCTTCAGAACATTCCTCATCTGTAGCTCTTACATTGCAGACTGCCCACTTTGTGCAAAGGATTGTTTTTATGCATCTGGCCTCCTTGTTTCTAGGCATTAAATAAAGTGAGTTTAAAGAAATACTTTTCTAAATTTACTTTACCAAATAATTTTACTTGTAAAATGGCAAGACAATGATCTGGATGTTTGTAAGTTGTGTAGAATAAGTGTGTCTTTTCCCTGTTGAGAGCTAGATACAGTATATTTGGTGGAGAATGTTTTTTGATGCACACCTGATACTATAAGGGGAAAGACTTATGTGAGCGGAGGCAGTAGGAAGTGAGGTTGCAGGCTGTATCTCTTCTAGATAACGAGCTCCCCACTACACTCCAAGAAAGGAACAAGAGGCAATCTCTGTACGAAAGTGTTAAGAGAACCGTTGGCATGTAAGAGCTGATGAGCTGTTAACCTTTCTTATTTTCTGTTTCCTGTATTCTTGGACCTGCTCCCTCTATGTACATTAGTAGACAACAAGGGATTTTAGTGGTCTGGTAGAATGCAGTGAATTAGTTATTCCAAATAAGCAATACAAGAGCTCTGTGTGAGTTCTCATGTCCTGACACTGTGGGTTAGGTTAGAGTTTTTAAATTGCAGAATCTTCCAAGTGTTGCACATAGTGCCAAGGGTGTCATCTCTGTGGTGGCTGTGAACTCATCCAAGCTGGGAAACCAGGAGTCACCAGTTTTCTCTCTCAGATGCTGATCTCTTGTACATTGGTACAATGAAAAGAAAACATTTTTGAAGTATATGGGGATTTAACTGTGTGACTTCCATTTGTATCAACAGGAGTTATGTAGTTAAGTCCTTTGTACTGCTTTTGGAATGTGCCTTGAATTTTTAGGCTGAGATGTTAAGTTGCAGAATTAGTCAGGCATTCAATAAGGCATCTGATTTTTTTGCCTTCAGATTGACGCTTGCTGGAAGAATCACAGAAGATGACAGAGAAAAAGCATCTTATGATAATGATACAGACAGAGGTATTAGTTAATATTCTTACTATATGTGTCACTAAAAATGCTGCTAGCTCTCCAATAATTTGTACTTTGCTGCACTGGAATTGCATAGAACTTCAGTGAAGTATGTGATACTGTAAATAAATGTGAAGTTTCTCATGTGTTATGTAGTATAAAAAAAATCTTGCTCAGAATTTATTGTATTTACTTAGGGCATCCTCAAGTGCAAAGGACATGCTAAGAACTGTTTAATAATGAAAAAACTATGTACAAGTGCTCTTCAAGTCCTGTGGGTGCTAGACATCACATTGGACAAAGATCATTAGTCTAGTAAATCTGCAAAGAAGTCAGGTAGTGCTGAGTAGAAAGGAGGTGATCCTGAGACAGTCTCTTGGCCACATCTTAAGAGAGAAGGCGTAGGCCTTTTTCCACACCTTATGGTAGAAGGTATTTCTGGAGTAAAATTTTTATGTACCTTCTGGAATTAATGCATTAATTTAAAAAAAAAAAAAGCACCAATAAAACCTGTAGTTTCCTGCTTGCAAAGTCTTTATTACGTGCTTGACTTAAGACAATAATCAGATTGCTGAATGTAGTTTCCTGTGATCTTCTGTTGATTGCTTGATTGGTGGAAGGATTAAAAATAAAATAAAGCTTGTCTTCTGTTGGGTTGTGTTAATACGAGTGGAGAGACCACAACTGGTTAAATATTCTCTTTCACACTTCATCATTAAAATCTTTGTGAAACTTGTGGAGTAAGGTTAAAAACACACCCAGAGATTGATGCATAGTAAAATGCTACCTGCATGTGTCCCAGTTTCCGTGAGCCTTTCTCATTAGACTTAAATTGCACATTTTTGTTTGTCTTGGATATTTTAATGCAATAACTATATTCTGACTTTCCTTTAAGGAACTTTTACGATTCGGTTACCTAAGGAGATTCCTGGCCAATATTTTGAGGGACTGGACGTGCTGACTTCTCTTTTAGCACCAAAGAAATCAAGATCTGCAAAATCTTTGGTAGAAGAGATGGGTATGACAAAAAAATCCTATTTATACTAGTGATACAAGTACATAATTAAATAGTTACAGATCTACATAGTAATACATGTGGAAAAATACAGTATTTCTATTATTGTGTAGTTGAAGATATAAGATGGGTATGAATCAATCTGGAAGTATAGATAAGTATAGAAATTAATGTGTTGTTGGCGATATCCATGTCATCTTTATAGGCTTAGTTATGTTTACATTTTTCCAAAACGTGCTTAACGTATGCTGATCTTCTGTAGATCTTTATACCCCTCTAGTGACTGTATGATACACACATGTTTGAGGCTTCTGCTTTCTGCAAGCCTGCACAACTGGACTTTTAGCTCAAATGGTAGAAGCTAATTAGAACTACAGGTTCTAGTGGGTGACTTGCTTAACATCGGTATTTAACAGACAAGAGGGTTTGACTATCTATGTTTAATTTTTTAATATTGATCTTAAATTATTGATAACACCACTTTGCTCCTTGTCAGCGTTCTCTTAGCATCAAATTCTGATCTTATTGAAATCAGTGGAACAATTAATTCAGTCTTTGAGTGAGTATATGTATGAACTTTGGTGTTCCTGGTCCTCTTTTTTGAAAGTTGGATAATTTAGAGCAGGACCTATGTATTACTTATGTAAGCATCTGCCTGTATGACCTAGTGTCACGTAAGATTTCTTAAAAGATGTAGTAAAATGAGAAAGGCTTATGGTGTTATCAGTGTTTGCCTTTATATTAAATCATATTTATTTTCTATGTGATAATTTTCTTTCTCTGACCATTCAGTGTATACAGCTACCTCTGCTGAGTTGTCTGAGGAGGAGGATGAAGAATTTGACTGGGAAATAGAGCAGACCCCTTTTAAAGAAAGTGCAGAAAGCACTCTACCATTACAGTACTGTTACGGATTTGGGAATTTGCGGTCAGGGGTCTTCCAGCGGCTGCAGGTGGGTGCATTTTTGTCTTTCCCTGTCATAAAAGTTCTGTGTAACTTTCTCATTGGGTGGGCGTCCTGGCTCACTCCGTAGTCAGGAGAGGATCATTAGGTAACTGTTCTCCATTATCCCATTCTGTGACTGAGAATATTCTGCTTTTACATGGAGTAGTACAGGCAAATCCTTGTTCCTGCTGGAACAGGATTAAACACTAAATACTTGATGTTAAATACTTCAAACATATTTAACATCAGTGTACAGTGTATTTCAGATGCCACGAATTTCAGTTTATTTTTAAATTAAAAAGAAATTACTCAATTAAAAGAAGAATACAAAATGAAGCTGCCTATCTATAGGTTCTGTTGTGGTTGTTGCATTAAGATTTTTTTTAATTGTGAAACTAATGGTCGCTTTCTCTTTGTACTTTTGATTTTAGACTTGATTTTCTCACAAGACAATAACTTTTGAAGTGTGCACTCTTCAAGGTGTCTGTCCACCTGGTATCTGTGGGATTTACTAGGGTTGTGCTGATGCACTGAAATTTGCTTTTGTGGATTAATTGGTAGGATAGGAGCTTTAAAATGCGGTTACTTTGCTCTCGTGCGTTCAGCAGTTTAATTCAGTAATAGGTTGAAGGTAATCTACAACCTGTAGTGTGCTAGATAGTGTAATAATATTCATAGTATACAGAACTTTTAATAAAATAGTAGATAACTTAATTTTTTGTAGTGTTCTTACTCTAAGCAATTTAAGTTGTAGCTATTTAATTAATAAACTTAATTATGTAACTCTGTAACTTATTATTATGTGAACTGTGGTATTTCCAGGGTTTGGAACAGAAGGATTGCTATTTATGGAGCAAGAGTTTACATTCTGTGAAGATGTATACACTGGTTTATTACCATGAAATTTGTGAAGAAGTCCATTTGCCATCAGCATTAATGTACCACTACTGAATGATGCTTAAAAGGGCACTGCCATTGCCCATTAATTAATGTGTGGTCACTTCAGAGTGGGAGAGGAATCTCAAAAGTTGCAGGAACAGTATCCGTGACTTTCATCTTGTCTTTGTTGAGGTTGTGTGCTTTTGTTAAAACATTGCAAATTTTATCATAGTGCAAAATAACCTGCCTGCCTTAATGCTAAAATGGCCCAAATAGACTTCCTAATAACGTGAATTCTAAGGAGCTTCAAATAATTGAATGGCCTTGGAATTTTGATCTTTTATTTGTGCAATGGAGCATGAATTTGTAAGGTTTGAAAGGGAGGTTGAAGACCATCTAGGGATTTCAGTGTAATGCTGATAATCCTTCCTAAACTCTTACTAAATAAATCTTGCGTATCATAGCTGTGGCTTGGTCCTGTCATTTCTGTTCCATTTGCAGGATGAACTCAGTGACGTTATTGACATTAAGGGTCCAGACCAGACTCCTGGAGATGAACACAGAAGAAAATGCCTGGCAGCTGAGGCTGCCAAGCTTGATCCTGATCAGTACCTGTGAGTACTGACTTTTTTAGCTGAAATAGATTGACTTTTTCTTTTCATAAATGATTGGTTTTAACATCACTTTTGGAAATAATAGCTTTATTTTTTATTTGTTTGTTTCTTGGTCTCATCACAGCAGGCCTCAGAGGGTATTCTTAAGTGTGACACAAAGACCTTTATCTGTTTTGGGGTTATTCTGCTGTTTAGTTACTGCATCAGTCTGTATGCGAGCAGGGGCTGCTGTGAACTGCTGCAGAATGTTGTTTCCTGGTTGACCTCTTCAGAAGCTGAGCAGGCAATCCCTGCCAGTGTTTCAGGTTGTAGATGTCAGAACTTTGTTTTCCTCTTGTGAAACAAGGATTACTGAACCATCCTGATCTTTGAGGAGGTACATTTGAGTTTTGAAGTTAGGAAGTTTTTGTCAGTTTTTTTTGCCTTCGTCAGATTAAATCTGTTTTTACAGAAGAATGAGGAAAAGTTCCAACCCAAAACTTTGTGTTTCTTTGTACTTCATCCCGTGTAATGAAGGTGGAAATAATTCTTCATGCCTTTTGAGTTGGAATATTTCAGGTCAAGTTAGGGTCAGAAGCTGACAGAGAAGTAAACTGAATTGAAGCCATGATATCTTTTAATACAGTGATTCCTGTAGGATTGATTTGTCATTAGGAACTGGCTCCTCAAGTTACTACATTGAAAAGTGAGTTCCGTGTGGGAAAGCGACATAAAACTTAGCAAGATCTTTGAAAATATATTTTCTTGTTCAGAAACACTGAACCAAGAGAATTATTTTTTTGTTTCTTCCTTTTGCTGATTTATATTAATAATGCCCTTTTGGTTTTTTATCGTGATTGGTTTCTTGGAACCAAAAACTTGGTTACTTTTATCTTCATAATGTCTTCAGCTAAAAGGAGTAATTAGAAATACAGATTGCTGCTTTGCTTTTTTTTTTTTTTTTTTTTTTTTTTCCATGGTTTTACAATTAATTAAACCTTTTTTTTTTTTTTTTTTTTTTTTGCATGGTCTTACAATTAACTGAAGACTTTGGTTGATTACTGCTCTTACTTTTGTCTCTGGTTATTCTCTCTCTTGTTTTTACATTATCAGGTTTAATGTCTCATTACCAGATTTTTTTCTTTTTGGATGAGTTTTTCTCATTAGCATGTAAAGTCTTCAGCTCTCTTCTGTCCTTACCTTGAATCTGTTTTTACTTATCCATTTTACTTTTTCTCCAGCTTGCGTGCATGGTCTTTGTATTTTGCCTTTTTTTACATTTTGTCTTTTGTTGTCCTAAGTGTCTTTCTTTTGCCTTTTTTTACATTTCACTGTGTATTGTCTCTTCTTGCCCTTTGTGATTTTTTGTTTGCTTATTTTTCCCCCAGGCTTGCTAGCCACCAGGCAGCTAGGATTATTGCCTTTGCAGTATGGCTGAGGAACAAGAAGTAGTAGAGAGTAGTACTAGAGAGCAGGTTTCACCATCATGTTTGTAGCAAAATATCCTTTTTGGAGTGGACATTTCTAAAATTACAATTCTAATGCAAGTCAAGTAATACTCAATAAAGCCTAACTAATTACACAGGCTTTCCCATGAGGGAATAAAAATTCTGGAAAGCTTGTTTGCTGCTGCAGCTGCAGTTTATGTTGGAGTCTTGCTTCTACAGATTGCAGATGAGAGATTTTGTATTTTGTAACAGTCACATTCAACTGAGTTAAAAGTTCATTTTTATTCCACTTCAAATTGCACAATTGTAACAACTCCTCTTTAGGCAACACAACAATCTTCAAGGGCTCAGGCTGGCATATGTATTTAATATAACATTTGTATGCTGCAGGGATAACTTATTTTGTTCATGGTAACCTGTCACGCTTAGCAGTGACCATTCTCTCTTTCTGATCTCTTTATAGAATGAGGAGCAATTTCTTTTTAAAGATCCACCTTTCAGTAGCGCTCTGCTCAAATATATACCATTACTGGTAGATTCAAGATGAATAGCTTTTTGTTTTTCTTAGATTCCTGCAATTGTTCTGTCTACCTGTTTCAGTCAGTCTTCTGGGCCTTTGCAGCATGTGTACCTTCCTGGCACTGTTCTGCTGCAGAGCAAGTATTCTGTGGGTGAGGAAAGACTGCTCTTTATTAATGTAAAATTCCTAACATATAAATTATAGGTCTCTATGGTAAAATATCTCACCTTCTAGCTGTCAGAGCTCATCCTCCCCTTCAGAGATTAAACTGTGCTTCGTCGACAGTTGGGTACGGAAGAGCAATTTGAAACATTTATTTTAGCATGCGGAATGGCTAGTTTAAAATCAGTAGAGGAGATGATTAAAAAGTAAGAGCAATCTCTGTAGTATCGTCTAACAGTAACTTTGAGATTAATTTGTCTGATTCATTTAGGCATGCGTATATTAGTACACAGTTGTATCATGGCTAGAAGCAGCATGATTTTGGCACTGACAAACGAACAAAACATTTTAAAATAAAACTTAAGGAAAACTTGCAAATTTAGCACTTAATAAGTAGCAGATGCTGCTTTGCATGACATTAGTTTTAATTGTTGTACAGATATTGTTAAATAAACATTGGTAACAAATGTACAAAATACTGGCTTAATATAGCAGGAAATGTAATTACAATTTTACTTGTTCTGTTACTCTTATATACTTGTATTTTTGAATTAGGAAAACTAAGTGGTGGTTTTGATGTGTGAATAATGAGTTTCAGGCTTGGATAATTCATTATTCAGACACTATAAGGAATGGATAGGTATTTATTTGTAAAATTGAAGTATTTCCTTTAGAGGGAAAAATTTTATTTAGAACACCTGTCACTTTGCAGTGAGTTAATGAACATCTTGTGGCATTTACCTTTGGGAATTGTCTACTCTACCTTTTGTTTGCTGTTGTCTAGTAGACTGGCAGTGTCTGTGTTTATGGTCCAGTTGTGTATGTGAGGAGGCTTCAGAGAATTTGCATTTTACAGGGAGAAAACTTTTATCTCCTATGTTTCATGGACTTCACTGGGAGTTCTTTGCTTTCTACTTGGAAGTATGGTTCATATCTACATATTCCTCTGCAATGTGGATTTTAGGGAATCTAACAAATACTTGCTGGTAAAACTTTAAAAAGTTGGGTGTTTTTTTGTTGTTGTTGTATTCAGTGTTGGACTGTTTCTTATCTCAGATGATGAGGGGTTAATTTTGCTCAGTGTTGAAGCCTTCAGGTTGCAGTTTCTGGTTCAGAAGAGTGATCCTCAGTAGAGGATACAGTGCTGAACATGAAGAGTGTCTGAGGGAGAGCAGTGGCGTTCCTGGTGTGTACGCATCTTGGCTGCTAACTGGAGCGAGCACAGAGGTGGGCCTAGAAACTGTGCTCCCTCCCTCGGAGCAGGTGTTCTGGCTGTGATGAATTCTCCGATGCTTCGCAGGTCTCGTTCAGCCTCCTGGTCACAAACATTACCTCGCGCTCCGGCACCCCG